CGCACAGTTCAAGCCCCAGTATTTAAGTATGATCTGGATATTGATTGGTAGGATATAAATATCTTACAAAGAAAGCCATGTCTCCATCCAGCTAAAGAGAGTTAGGTTTTGTGTAGTTCAACTATCAGTGTATAGGCAACATACTAACATATTTCTTAGGCAGACACTCCGTAGGTTTTATTTAGTCTTGCTAAGGTATTTTTTCTTCAGTTATTAAGAGTGACAAATCAGTTGTAATGTGAGCTTGTACTACAGATTTTGCACAATACCACCTGCCTGCTGAGCACTACTTTGAAAAGCACTTTAACAGAATTATTTCAACTAGAAGCTTTAAAGATACTCCGACTGGAGGACATATCAAAGGTTATTGTGATGAAAATGTATTTGCAAAGTTTTGCAGATAGAAAGTTTAGTATTGGTTGCATTAGGATACTAACAAGTTCATATTTCTGTGTCTGGTTTCAGGAGCTTTGAATCTGAGGAATGCTAGAGGTCCCAGTGAGCTCCAGTCTTCTTGTGTTTGTGTGGTACAAAACAACCTGTAGCATTTCTGTTCAAATGGACTGAAAAGATAAAACTAATGAATGAGAAGGAAAGGTAGGAAGATAAAACAGTTGAGCTGTACATAGAGAATCTTATCAACCCTAGCTCTGTATTTTTCCAAAGGATTTCAGTTTATGGAAGGAATGGGAACATTTGCATGTATATGTCTGGTGTTAACCGTTTTTTGTGTATCTTCTCAAATGAATAGAGAGGCTCACATCTATCAGTTGTTTGGTGACACAGACACTGCGGAAGAAAGAATTCTTGAAGAGGGACTGGGAGGAGGTGGGAGTGGCAGTCTCCAGGCCTCTTAAGGGACAGGACAGTAGGGATGGATAAGCAGAAGGATTTATACACAGAGGTGTTAAGAGTTGGAAGAAACTGTTCTGAAATAGATTCATAAAATTTATCTACCACCTAGAAAGATGAATTTATAGATGCCAAGAAGCCTTGTCTAGAATACTACTGAATTCACATAGTGTTTGGCATCAGGAATCTAGAATTTGAGAAGCCTTTGAGAAGCCTTTGAGAATTTATTCTTCTCAAGGTGTAAAATATAAAGGGTACCTTCTAAAGACTTGGCCCCAGTTAGTTAAGGCTGGTCTTAAAGCTACAGGAATTGATTGGAGGGCTTATTTTCACATACGTAGAATACGTAGAATGATGCCTGTAGAATGATGCCCTTACTATAAAGGGAGAGTAAGGAGAGTCAGTCCTCCTCATCAAACCCTGAATCAACGTAGAGAACTGTTTTTACTTTTCCCTGCATGGTTGCTCATCAAGATCCTTTGCATTCTCTATGTGCAGCTCCTGCTCAGTTCTCATGCCCCGCCATACTTAATCTTTCCTACAAAATCATTAGCCATTGCTATTTTTAAGCTCCGTTGGGTTGTAAAGACATGTTGGTGTTCTGTGACAACTGCTTAGGATGGTCCATTATCATTCCCTTACCTGGAATGCAGTGACCGGTCTGATTGCTTTTAATCAGGGTCTGTCCTGAGAAAAAAGGTTACAGTACCTAAAGTACCTCCTGTGGTAGCTGCTGAAGCCACCTCCAGAGGTGTTTTTGTTTCTGGATACATTTGACCTCTGATCAAGCTGTTTCCCAAATGGTCATTCTGATAAATCTCTTTTATGTTCCTGCAGTTTTGACTTAAGTTCTATTCCCTCCATGACAATAAAGCACACTGCAAACAACTGTTACACAGTCTAAAGGAAGAACAGAGAATATTGTTACATGTTACATTCTTTTTCAGAGTGTAACATAGTATTTCTGTTGTGCATTTACTTACATTTCTTGCTTTACTGCAGATTGTTTACCAAAATTTTAGTTGTTCATTCATCTTTAAAATACATGGATTACGTTTTATTTCAGATGTTTTTAATCAAATGTTATCAGTTAAATTTACTGTTTGGCAATTTGTCTATAATTTATTTCCCTTTTTTTTTTTTTTTTTTTTTGTGAAACAAGCCGTGACAAATATCATCTCACAGTAATTTTATAGACAGTTTCTTTTTATAGCTTACTACTCTAGAGATGTGTTCCTATGCAGCCCCCAAAAGAGATTTATATCAGATATAATAGAAATCCAGCTGGTTCTTCTAACTTATCTGTCTCCTCCTTACTTGATTCTTGCCACTTATTGTATCAAAGTGGATTTGCTCATAATTTTTCAGTAGTGAACAAGAAACTGTAAAAAAGAAGGCTATTTGTATTTTAAATTGCCTACTCCAAATCATTTCTTGTCAAATGCCATGACTAGCCTGTTTCCCCCAGTCTAAAAGTTGGGCTTCTATCACAAGTCAAAAGAAAGAAGCTGTGGAATAATGTCATACAATACTAGGCTGCTGTTTTAATATTTTTTATATTGATGGAGATAATTATTTAGATTTGGCACTATTACTAATCACTATTTCTACAAATAGGGAAAGGTACTTTTCAGATTCTGGCTTTTTTTTTTTTAATATATATAGACAGGATCTGATTGTATATCTAATCTATATATATATAAATATATATATATATATATATATACTGTGCTTCAGCACCTGACACTGAAGCATAATGATTCGGTCTGCAAAGCATTCTTATTAGGAAAGTAACGTTATTATGTGTCAAAAATACACATACACCATACATCAAAGTTGTGAAAATGATTAAGTATTTAAACTCCTGCAGTTTTAAAGGTCAGATTGGAAAGAAAAGGAAAAGAAAGAATGGCATCCATGCAACTCAAGACATCTGACTTAGCCAAGTGAAAGTAAAGAGCTTGGCTCCTTCAAAGGATGATTTGAAGTGTCTCAGCTACATTTCTCTTCTGAACTGCCTGACAGAGAAGTCTCTCTTTCTCTCTCCCTCTTTCTCTCTGCTTTCCTTCTTCTCTCCTTGTCAGTTCCCCCTGACTCCCAGGAATTACCGAGAGAGAGGAGATTGCAGGGAAACAGCTGAGGCGTATCCCTTTAATATACATCTATAAAAATATGGTATTTTACATCTAGCATGTCTAGAAGTGATTTTTCAAAAGTAACTTCCCTAGTTAAAAGTTCAGATATCAGCAGAGGTTTCTTCAAGTTAAGTCCAGTCTGCAACTATACTGGAATCAAATATAAGACATTTACAATTGTGGTTTTTTGGCCCTAAGAAGTTTCTCATATAAAATCAAATGAGATCACTCTCCTGAAAAGCCTGATTATGATTCAAAACTGAAAAAATATGGGAAATTCTCAGCAAGCTTTTTACTAAAATCTAACACTACACAGATCCTGCTACTGAAACTGGAGGCAAAAGTTCCTCCGTTTATATGAATGTGCAAATTTCAAAATACAGTCTATGTATGCTGATTAATGTTTACAGAATTTATATTTTCTGGGAAAAAAAAAGCTTTTTTTATACCAGCACTGAGTCCACGATTTCAACATGTACTTGCAGTAAAAGATTAACACCTTTTGTTAGCAAGTAGTTATTTTGCCACGTTTAGACTAAAAATACTGTAATTTATAATATGAGTAATTCTGATTCTAGATAGGTTTTCTCAGCTAACACTGATCAAACAAGAGAGCTTTCAGCTTTCATGTCTTCTTTTGGCATGTCATGGTTAACAGCAAGGTGTGACCTACAAAAAGAAGACAATTCTCTCCTCCTATCCTGCTAGGATAGGCCTTACAGAATACCTTAGCAGAACAGAAGAAAATTTATTTAAGAGTAGAAAATGTATTATAGCAAAACACTTATAATAAATATAAGTGAAGAACCAGACTACTGAGTTACATAGATTATTTTGATTACGAGCACTTCTGACAGTACAAAGGTAAATTATAAGGGTCTGCCTTTTAGAAACCAAATAATTAGGAGTGCAAAATAAGATATTTTTTACAGAGAATGCTTTTTAAAAAGTGTAAAATTAATCAGTGGGAAAAATAAAGAACCAACAACAAAACACAGATGTCAGTTCAGGTTTTTGAAGTGTGCTTGTCTTTTGCCTGCATTTTTGTGCTATTTCTAACAGTACTGCAAAAAGAGAACATTATTCAGACAGAGAACATCTCTGCAACTGAAGCACAGTTTGCAAATGTAGACAACGTTTGAGAAATTTAAATTATTGAATCTTTGACAGTGTATGGAGTCAGTTCTCATCAGCATGCTCCCCCAGTTTCAACCTTCATTTGATTTGATGCTTTCCAACCAGTTAATATTCTCAGTTGTTTGAAAGGTGATTTGCAACATTTCAGATGATATGAACGCACTGTTTTCTGTCTTTTGATATTTTCACCACAACTGTAGCCCTTTCGATTGCAAATGTTTGATTTTAAATTTGTCATTGGTCAGCCACTCTAAACGGCTGTTTCAGAACCAATACAGTTTATGCATGGGAAGTTTGATGTTGAAATAATATTTATTTACATTCCCAGAGTGAGATGGTTTAATATATTCATGCTGCTATAAGAGACCTGCTACAAAGCCTAATCGTATTTTGTGTATATACTATGTGTACAGAGAATCTTGCTTGTATTAAAATAAAAGAGAAATGAGGTTCTAAGTATCAATTTATAAAAGTTATTTGCAAAATGTTACAGTGTTTCATGAAGCCCTATTTAATGAAGCATTAACTACTGGTAAAGCTCCACAGAAAAACCTTATTCCAGAATTCACAGTAATGGTTCCCGTCTGTTTTATTTCTGCTTGCATTTCACAGAGGAGCTTACCTCGCCACCCCCCAGCCCCTGTTCCCACTTCTCCTGTACTAGGTAAGCCACTGACACAGCAGGAGATAACAGACAGAAGCATTACTGAACATACTTGTCATCCAGGCGCTGACCTGCTGTGAATATAAAAGCAAACAGACCTAAAAATGATGCTGCCCTTCCCCCAGCCCCGACTTTCTGCAACCTGTGGCTCTTTCCCAGCAGAACAGCTGGCAGATTGTAGCGCTGCCATGGCAACCCTGCCGTCACCGATTGGTTTGGCAGCCTCGCAGCACCACCACATGCACTTCACGTCTGAACTGCTCTTAGGCTCGCAGAGGTATTCTTCCAGGTTGTACTGCTAGATGCTTATTTACCCTTCAACTTCATAAATTTTGCAATAAAAAATCCTATACAGTCCTTATTTGCCAGTGAAACCAAATCTTCCTCCCTGCAATCTTGCAAAGATTCCATATCCGTTCCTTGCAAAGTCCCAGCAGATGGATCAAATCTCTGCAGCAGCTTCAACTGATGGAGTGCCAGTCCAGCTCCCCTCATGCCTTCTCCTCCAATGTGAGGTTCCTTTGCAAGTAACAAAGAAAAGCAAATTACCACATCAGTACAAAGTCCCTGGTTTCCTAGATGTATTCCTTTAAGTATTTGCAGAGCTACCTAACGTAATGCGGACACACTAGGTTTGTATCATGTACACCACAGGGAAGCTCAGAAGTTACATGGCCCTCCCTTTTTTAATCTGGCAAGCACACATGAGTGCATACAACACGTCCAACACCATGGTGCTGGTGATGGGGCCAAGCCCACTTATCCCGCTTGTTTAGTGATTGGACCACTTAGAGAGGATAGGTGACATCCATAGGTCTAAATCAGTCCCAAAAGAGTGAAGTCCCTACCAATCACAAGAAGGCTGTTAGCAGCATCCAACGCATGTGAAAGTTTTAGGTTTTTCACTTAAATGCTGAAGCACTCCTGTGTAAACAACCACAAGTAGTCAAAAAGAGAGATTCCTTAGTCGGTTGCTCAGTAACAGTAGTAGAAATACCTGGATTCTTCACATAGAAAACTTCAACTGGAGAGAGTGAAAAAACGCTGCCTAAAGAGGCATCATTTTGGAAGAAGATGATGCAGCAGAAAAATTTGGCGCTCCAGATTTTCTGTGTTATGTAATTAGACTAATGGCTAAATGGGACACGTTTGTATAGGACACAGAGGAAGGAACAGCATAGGCATCTGAATTCAGAAGGACATTTGGCATCAAAATCCTGGATAGGAGGGAATTCTTCTCAGCCCCACCCCTCTTCTCAGCACTCCCTGTGATGCCTTGACTCCTTTTTATTTAATAAATAAGCTGATTCTTATCTGGATCATTAATCTAATGCATTCAGATAGGAGACAGAACAACATTTGTAAAAGCTGGCATAGCAATAGCAAAGTAAAGAACTCCTTTGTTAATCTGTAATGCAGCACAGAGCAGATCGTTTCTTGGGCCCTCAGACTTTGCTAACACAGGTGCTCACCCCACCACCACGTGATGTGAGTTAACTGCTTAACGATGCACTGCCAGCTTAAAGCTGGGCAGCCGGGAAGCTGCTGCTCAATTCTTCTCTTCCTTTCCTTTAATAAGAATTCAGTGCTTTCCAGGTAAGAGACAAAAAGGCATCTGTTGGAAACTAAAAAAAATCAACATACAAAGGGAGAAAGGGGTGGTGACTTGAAGTACTGGAATACAAGGGGATTTTTGCAGAAAACGGTATTACCCAGGGTGCAGTGACTTGCTTGTTCAAAGACTGGTTTTATTCTCTATCTCTTCCCTTTTCCTTCCAGATTAGTTACCACATTGAAGCTGATAGATAATGTTATCTCCTGTGTGTAAATCCCTAAGAGGCAGTAAGTCTGCCCAGGCACAGGATCAACTGTCCAGCAGTAACCTCCACTTCTGAGATCAATACCGATGGCTCCACCTCTAATTTTGCCTTGCACAGCCTGATTTCAAGACCTGTCGCCAAACTGAGATTGTGGGAAATAGTGGGCTGGGTAAAAAGCAGGTGTGGCTGAGAGACAGAAAGAATGTAAGAAATAAGTGAAGGAGCATAAGGTGAGTCAACCCTAGATTCTAGCCTCATTGGAAAAGATCACCTCAGCAGGGTAGCTGGTTATAAGATATGATAGACCATCTGTAGGTAAATAATTCAGTGTCATCTTATTTAAACTGTGCTATACACAAAACTTTTATAGAAATGTCATTTTTGTGTGAAAAAAGTACTTTATTCAGAGCATATTACTGGTGAGGTATCGAGTCTATCAAGTTGGAATCCTGAATTTAGGTTAACAGGACTTATGTTTTGCTTTGTCATTCTGCTGAGGACAATTTCCCATGCTGTTAAGTTTTACTTAATGATCTCAGCTGAAAGAGCTGGAATTGAAAAACAATTCTAATATAGATGGAAGGTTTGAATTTGTACCAATGTGCAGAAGAACGCTGGCGTATAAATCTTTAAGAAAATCTTTGGTCCTTTTAAATCTTTGGCAGCCTTCATATATTTTCTTCTTGTACAACACTGTGTATTTTTTAAGTTTTTTCAGTTAAAAGATACATCCAAGCTCTTAAGACAGAAACAAGGCATTAAGGAATGCACAAGTTGAACAGGTACCAGATTAGGCTTCTTCTCAGTGCCATGATGACGTACAACTAACACTCCAACTCATCACACTGACAAAGGAGAAAGCTACATATATATGGTCTGATGATAAACTGTCGCAAGGTACTAATAAAGGAGATGTGATTTTGAAAGGTAGGCAGTGTGGATACAAATTCTAGTATCTCCTTATATACTTTCTCCCCTTAGGCACTTTTACAGTAGTCACTGGCTCTAAAAAAGACAAGGTACGGTCTTGAGCCACTGAGCTTGAAATAAATTTATTCCCTCGTTCTTTATGTAACACAAAGATGGTTCCCATGCATATAAAATTCTCCTTCAAGTTATTTCCCATCCTTTATATAATCTTCACTGCTTCAGAAACTTTAATAAAAAATTTTTCACCTCTTGTTAATGGGCGGAAAAAGAAAATAAAATGCATGCACGTAAAGAAAGAATAGCAAGAGGAATTTTAACCTGAGCAGTCTTTTAGTCCTCCTGTGTGTTAAATGATTGTTGTACAAATCAAAACAACCTGAGCACACAGTTGGAAACTACTTAATGTTCCCTAAATGAAGCTCAATTAAGCACGAAAAAAGGTTTGAAGAGCATCAGAAATTATTTTTATCCCTAGCAGTTAAAAGTCTCTATAGTAAAAAAGAGATTTATTGATGGTAAATATACTGAGTACCATTATGGTGCCAAAACAAGTCAAGCATCCTATTAATACCAGTACCTGTAGCTGAAGCTGGAGGCATGGAAAAGTTTCCAGAGCCCATGCAACTTGCTCCTCATTTTCAGAAAGTGTAATTGTACATGTACTATATACTAAGACACCTCCTGGCTTCAGTAATTTCACTGCCTGCAGGGAAAAAGAAACAACATTTCAGCTTATATTTAAAGGCAAAATGTTTCATATAAAGTAATGGTAACCAAGGAATTGTTAAGCTATAATATTAAAAATTAACACTTAAATCTTTCTGTCTAAAACAGCGTTGGAATGCTAATTCTTCTTGGGGCACACATTAAAGGTTCACATAGATTAGAAAGGCTTTTCTTTCAAAATCAGCATTATAGTTCATGCACTTTCTTAATGCTACTGAGATGATTCACCCGGTAGGATTTGTTATTTGTGCAGCTCTGCATATCTCATACAGATTAGTTTTGTTTTCATCACATGCTGCCAAGCACAGATAGTTACACAGTATTTCTGTCACTGATATTAGATGTCAGCTGTTCCATATATTTGGCATGGTTATATCTGTGCTTCTTTTCAAGCTGTAATTCACTTTGAATAAGTATAATTCAGGTTTACAAAAGCTTCAGGAAATCTTGTCCTTCAGTATCAGGGCAAGGGTGCTCTTACTAACAAGGGAACTTGTAATATGGCCTTCTGGCTGTGTGCTCCAGCATCTATTCTGTATAGTACCACTGCAGGCTATGTGAGGAAGTGGTAAGAGTCCACACTGCTGCACAGAAAAACACTTTCACCTGCTCTGTGACTTAGACCTTGCCAATCATTATAAACTGAAACCAAGAAAACTGAAGGGAAAAAGAATAGAAAAATTCAGAGGTTTTTGTTTACTGTTGTTTACAGACATCTTTCCCATGCTCCAGTGAACTGACTTCACCTAGCAGCAGATCTGGTGGAGCTGAAAGGCTAACCGAATGCTAATGCTGTCATCAACTTTACTTTAAAAAAGGGGGCTTGTGAAAGACAGGAGAGCACTATCTTGTTTTATAAATATTTAAGTGCTCCTAAATGATCTCAACTTTCCTTCTCTTTGACCTCAACAGCCTGAAAGAGAGAAAACAAAGCTGAACAAATGACTTAAGTTCTTTAAGTTGTATCAAAAGAAACAACATAAAGAAAACTGCACTACTTACCCTAAGGAGAAAAAAAAGAAGAATGTTTTAGACTTTATGGAGAACAGGGAACTGAGATTTCAAGGGTTAGAAGTCAACATCAAATACTTGAGCTTAAAAAGGGTGGGCTGCATCCTAGCATACATCTGCAGAAGAACAAGTCTAAGTGTTCTAGGAACTACTGATCTTCAAAGATGAAGGATAACAAAAGACCAGCTGGAAATCAGGCAAAATGCACATACTTTAATATTCTTCAATTAAATTTAGGAATAAGCTGAGAACTGCAGATGGTTTTGTGACAGAAGAAACTGTAGTTGGAAAAATAAAACCTTAATAACACTACCCAGTGATTAAAAAAAAAAAAAAAAAAAAAAAAGGAAAGAGGTTAGCACTTCATGGTTTCTAGTACCATTACAGCAAGAATGCAGTGTACAAGCAGCTAGGAACAATAACTAGGAATGAAAAACCTAGAAAAAGGGCAAAGAACAGACATGAAACATATTTAGAAAGAGGGACATTCTGCAAAACAGCAGTTTTATGGAAATGTTTAACAGAACTCTCGTGCTACATTTGCCCTGAATAGAGAGAACTTTGAAATGTATGCATCCCAGCACCTAACTGCTGAAAAGGTATGGAAAATGAAGCAACATTCTGGCAAGTGAAGTTAAGTTTTACATTGCAAAACTGCTTATGATCAATTTAATTTAGCTACTCAATAATTAATACGTACCACAGTGAAAAGCTTGCGTTGCAGTGGCTGGTAAGATGTCACTTCCTTTAAAGTCGAGGAATAAGCCATGTTTGGTCTCTGCCCCATCCCACTGCATGGAGCATCAAGAAGAATTCGATCAAATGATTCTGGTAAGAATGGAGGTCCTTCTGTAAAAAAAAATGTGTCTCTTCTTTCCGTGAGAATTCACCATAGGAAATGGCAGACTGTTACGGCTTAATTGCCATAACACATTAAAGTCCTATACATGGTATCTGCAAAAGTGATCTCAGCTAGAGACAAGTTTCATCAGTGCTGGTGGTAGATTTTGTCTGACAGAAAAGGAATTATAGATTATGCAAATAGTGGATAATTGCTTTAGACATCAATATTTTTCAACTGATATTTTGAAAATAAAACATAAAACCAAACAAAAATATTGAAGTAAGATTGGTCAGAGGTGCTAGGTACGCAGTTGTGCATATAAGTTGTTATGAAACACAGACAGCTCATAAGTGATCAAATCATTACTGAGAGAAGTGCATGGTTAACCATTAAGACTGCCTTAAGTAATAAGAATTGGACTGCCTATATAACTCTTCATGCAATTCACACAGAAAATAGAGTACTTGATAACATGAAATACCAGACGTTCAAATTCTACTAGTTTTCTACATGTGCTGTCTCTGCAGCAGAACAATTCAGTAGAGAAGGATGGAAAAGATGGGCACTACCTCTGAATACTGCCTGGATAGATAGAGAAATATGTACCTTCTTTATGTGGAGCCTATCCTTTCACCTTTCCAAATCCCACTAGTTCAACAGCCCCAAAATGTCTATTGCTCTAGTGCTCAAGAAACAATTCAGCACAGGATTACCAAGACAAAAGGAGCTCTGTATGTGTATCTGAGTAACCAATGAGGAAGAGAGACATTTATATGCTTTGCCTCCTTTTCTTCTTCTCTTCCTGAAATATGCAAGCAGGTCACAAGTGAAAAGGAGTGGATGACTTCACACTACTGCTACCTAGGTTGTTCCACTATCACCAGAGAAGACTCTTGGCACTGCTGATTTACCTATCTCCAATTCAGCCTTCAAAATATGTCGAATGTCATAATTGCAGGGATGTACAGAAAAGCTTTCATGATCCCTGAGTATTATAGCTAGCTCTTGTTCATCTGTGCAAGTGCTATGAACCACCTACAATATCTTGCATTCATAGATGATTAAGAAAAATACCTTATTTCCTGCAAAACAGGGATGACAATAAGGGATGGGGACAAGGAAGGTGAATTATGCAACCTGATCCCTACTTAGGCAAACCAGTTACTGGAAAAAAGCAGAGTGAGAGAACAGCACACTTTGCACAACAAACTAAAAATAATCTAGACAGCAGATACTGCTTAAATCTTTCCATCATGGGAACAGAATCAGTATCATAAATACAGTACTTCAGAAAAGCAAATGAAATGAACTCAAAATAATACACTGTTTTATTGCTTTCCCCTAAACAGCTGAACAAACATCATTGAACTAAACTTTGCAATACTCCTGGGAGTTAGGTATTAATAACCCAATTTTACAGATGAAGATTTTGAGGCAGAAAAAAAGCAAGAAATTCTGCAGAAGTAATTTATTTCTCAGACTAAGCAAAACAGTTCAGAGTATGGGGTTAAGTATTATCATGAAACAAGGTTTAGGGTTCGTCAATCTCTGATAATACCTGGAAAGGGAATGCATTCCTTTTGAGCATATTAGGTTGTGATAAAGACAGATAGTTTGAGCTTTGTAGTTGCTTTATGGGAAAGCTGAAAATCACAACAGAGAAGAAAATAAGAGGAGTTCCACAGGCTGAAGCAGCTGAGCTATCTGCCAAGATTTCAAAAACTTATGAACTGGTGACTGGTTTAATACTACTGATAAAAAACTGACATTTATTCTAATACTACTATTACCAAAATTGTTTACTTTACCTTGTTTATCCTCTCTCTTCTCAACTGACAGTGCTTTTGTTCCATCATAGCAAAATGCCTTTATACAATTCAACTGCAGTAATTCAGCGTTCTGCTTAATTTTTTTGACCTTGTTAGCTATCTTGTCCATTGCAATTACTTCACCCTGAAAAAAAAGTTTGTTTTTGTTTGTTTGGTTTTTTTTTTAATCAAAAGCATAGGGATTAAGTGGATATGCAATTCCTGATTATTTTTTTTTTCTTTTTGATCAGTGTAATGAAGCTTAATTTTCCCTAAAGAATGATATTATTTTTAAATATACACTCCAGTAGTCCTTGTTCTCCCATGTTTTCCATGACACCCCTATTAGGGTAGATACTGGTCTGGAGCTCTATACACCCTGTTTGGCATGATCACTCCAAAATGGGAAACTATACTGTCTGACTTTCAACACGATTTTGTTTGTATTTTCTTTTGTTTAGTAATGTTTTACTGAGCATTAAATTAAGTAAAAAAAAAAAAAAAGATAATTTGTTAGAAGGTAGAAGATTTAAATATATGGTAAAATAGGTAAACAGGTTTTAAATTTGTGTGGAAATGTTATTACATACAGCTCAGTTCTGAGAAAAGGAGACCTGCAGCCGTTCCTCTGGCTGAGGTTCATAAAATACCATTACGCTCGCAGTCGTGACAACTACTGCCTCATTCCTTTCAGCTAGGAAAAAATTCTCTTTTTCTGTGCAGGATAAATCAAATCAAAGCAGGCATACAGCACTACCTGCTAGATGAAATTTGTAAACAGGAAAGAAAACATTTTTCAGTATTGTCAGTGAAATCCAAAACAGTAATCAGCCTCCAAAAACAACCTTAAAAAAAAACAGAACAAAAGGAAACAAAAGGAAACAAACAACTCATAGCCAAAGACCAATAACTATGAATGGAATTGCTACAGTGATTCAGATCTTCTGAGAAAACATGATGATTTCTTTTTTATTTGGTGATAGATCTCTAGAAGACTAGTGGGAGAGCAACATGACTGTATAACAAATAGACTGTATAAAAAAAAAAAAAAAAAAAAAAGTCAGTGAAGGTACGCTGGTTGACTGTAGTAACCAGGTTAGCCAGTTTGTTGGTCTAGGACTGGAAAGAAAGAAAAGGATTTATGTTGTTTCAATTGTTTCTAGTCCCCAGCTGCTGTGAGCTAAATCACCTCTAACATGAGCACTCAATGATCTGATGCCACTGCTTCTCCCCTATTAACATTCAGCATGTTGTACATGCACACTAAGTTCTGGTGCTGAAAAGTTGTTAAGGCTGTTGCTGAAATGGTGGCTTTACTGCTCATGTGCTGTACTGTGGACATACTAAGGTAATTTCTTGTCTTGAGAGGCACTCAGCAACAGGAACAGACTGAAATACAACAGGTCTCCCCCATCTGGCCCATTCCAGTCGCTACTGCGATTTCCTCTGTGACATCTGGGGAAAAATGGTTGTTTTGGACTGGGCTCTGAACAGTAATAAATCCTCAAAATTTAGCTGTTCCCAATTCCTACTTTAAAACTACACATTCTTTCAGCAGACAGCAGCAACCTGTGATTCCCATAAATCCTGAGTTTCATTAATCCAGCATATTTCTGAATAACGTGCAAGGCAACAAATTCTTCCATTACAAATAAGTGAAATCAAAGATATATTTCAACACATCAATTTGCAGCAAATCAGGTCTTAAGTGGGATGGCGACCTTTTAGTAGTCTGTGCTCATTTCAGTTACTAACAAAATACACTGTAAGCAGAACGTTCGAGTATTGGTGGCTTGCTATTCTAAGTTATCTGTATGCATCTGTTAAAATGATGGTGCTCAGACTTTCTCCACTGAGACAGAAAATGCTGAGTGACTTCTCTTACTTGATCACACATTAATGTTGCAAGATGGGTTGTTTTTCCTCCAGGTGCAGCACACATGTCCAAAATTCTTTCTCCTGGTTGAGGGTTTAAAACATGGCTGACAACAACTGAAGGTAAGTTCTATCATAAAAACAAAAACAGGAGAATTCAAACCTTATGGCCTATACCAAGTCCTGGAATAAGGAATGACAAACATGTTAAAAATAAATATAAAATTCAGCACTGAAGACACTGAAGATATTGTTGTTGGTTCCTTACCAGAAAATGAAATATTTAAAAGCGACAGCAGATGTCTGAAGTCTCCATTGGCTCTTGTATATTTAAAGCCACCTGTGAGTATCTATGACTAAAGTTTAAGGATTTGTGGCTAGGGAGGCTACACTGCTAAAACTGAAAATAAATTAAATTGATACTACCATAGACATAGAGTAGTTCTGTATGTTACGAGGATTTTATACTCATTTGGTTTATTGAAACACATTGGTGTAGTTTAGTATCAAGCAATTAGATGAATAGGCAGGAGTTTAAAGTTGCTGAATTAATGTACTGAGAAGCTGAATTGTGCTAACTGTACAAGCAGAACAAATCTGAGTGATTGTTATACATATTAAATGAAGTAATTTACTATTTCAGAGAATATCATTGAAGAAGGGCTTATTTGAGATAAAATTTACATTTGCTTTACAGAGTAAAACTACTTTCTGGAGGGTTTTTCTAAACCCAGGGATTGTTTGTATTTATATTTAAAAAAAAAATACCATTATTAGTGTGCTCTTGGACATCTAGCTCATGTTTTAAACCTTTTTTTTAATTCCAACAAACTGAAATTATGAATTTTACTTGATCTTAGAATACAAAAAAGTTCCATTTATTTAATCATCCTATGTTTCAACATAGCCTAAATGACCAATTGTTATGTCTACTCTTTTTAAACAAACTTGCTGCATGGGGAAAAGCGGTTTAGGTTCCGTAAATGTTAAAGCTGCAGATGAAAAAGCTGTCAAGAATGAAGTTCAAGTTCTCTTCAATTTAAGATCAATTATTTGAAGATTTTCCTCCTTATCTACAGAAGTGGGTACCTTGAAAGAGGCTCATGTCTTGTGGTTCATAAGGCAGATTCCAAAAACTAAAAGTTCTATGGAGTGTTTGTGCAAAAAGAACCTCTTAAGTTGACTTAAACATGCAGATACTACATTCATTCTTTGTTTTCTTTAAATTCAAACAGATAATTGGGTGCTGTAACACACAGTGAATATTGTTATAACGAGTTATGAGTGCTCAGAGGATACTCATTGTTCTGCAACCAGTACAGGTTTTTATTTTGGCCAGAATCCTACCTGTAAAAATAAATGACTAGGAAGCACACTGTCAAACGAAGGACTAAGATAGACTGGCTCTGTCATTCTTACGCCTAGCCCACTGAAAAACACAAAATAATTATGTCAAGTACAAAGGTGTATCATTTTTAACAGTATTAAAATCATTGTGCTTATATAGAGAAATTCAAAACAAAACCTTACAAAAATGAAACCATTATAAATCAGCCAAGAAAAATACCTTTACTATTGATGTTCTTTAAAATGACATCATTAAGTTGGATAAACAATGATAAAAACCTACATTTAAAATTGGAAATATCTGTAGATACAGATTGCTGTTACCAAGGACTTACGTCATTCGGCCATGCGGACTGAAAATGTCACTACGACTCAGTTCTGAAATCCCATTTCCAAGGAAAACTTTGACTCCTTCGAATTCTTTGGCTCCTCTTTTACATTTCCCTTCAATATCCGAATAGACTGAGACTAAATCTCCAGCCTTCACAACTGGGCAAAGAACAGAAATCTTGAATTTAATCTTATACTTGACAGTAAGGACCAAATAATTTAGGGTTTTCAGTAGACTGCTTCAACTCCTACATCACTGCAAAATAAATGACCTCATAGGCATTGAGCTTGAAAGCATGCATAAAGAATGATGACTCCCAATTATCTAGAGCTATTGAGAACCACTAGGTTACAAATCAGACTTGTTTCTTAAGCACCTAGACAAGCCTTTAGTTTATTTCTTATATCACCACATGGTTACCTAGCAGATTTTTTTGTCTCATCAGTGCTGAAAGATGGAAAAGCACAAATTTTCCATTTCTAAAGAAAATGGCATTAAAATTGAAGATTTTTTCATCAACTGAAAAAGAAGATTCTACTCGATGTCTCATAGACAAACAATAAGAAATGAATTACCATTGGGAAAAAATCTATTTTTCTAGATTTGTACCTTGGAATCTAACAGGATAGTAAAGTTAACTGCCTTTGTGGCTACATGAAGAGAAAATACTTCTTGAAATACTGTTCCCTACACAACCAACATACATCCAGCTAACATTTAGGTACCATCAACATACGTCCAGCCACCATCCATTTGTTGCAGCACCCTTTCTTTTTTTCCCCCAAGACAGGAAAGTGTCACTTTTAAAAAAAAAAAAAACAACAAAAAAACACACACACAAAAAAAAAAAAAAAACACTTAAAAGACAGGTTTTAATTCGTGTTCTTTGAAAAAGATTTCCAAAATGAATATAAGAAAATGAAATCTCTGAGAAGAATACTTCAGCTAAAGATTTAAATACTGTGAGGGGAACTTAATGTGAGAAATAATTTTGTGTCATTTTCTTATGTATCACACATAAAATTTCCAACAAAAGCCAGATAAAATATGCATTGACTGTATAACATAAGATTAATTTCAGCTGTGAACAGAAGACAAAACAAATTACTTTATTTATTGGAAATTAATTGAAGAGTGACTTTTTTTGTTCCCTATTTAGAAGTTTTACATGTAGAGAACTCTTACATCTTGAAGTAGATATGATACCAGGAACATAAACGTGCGCTCCTCGAAGTACTGCATACCCACACTGTGCTCCAACAATGACTTCAGACTCATATTTTTTTAAATCTTGCCTAAAAACACAGGATGCAATTCAGTTAAAAAAAAAAAATACTGAAAGAAATATTTCTCTTTCCCAAGTAAACTCTCTGGTTCATAATTTTTTTACCTTACAATATAGAAGAAAAAATATGTAACTATCATGTGGTCAATTAAAAAGTTTAATCTTAGAAAGGAATCAAAGGACAGAAGAGAAAACAACAACAACTACTACAAAACAGTCCTCAAAATAAACCAGATTGAGACACATTCTGCCAGTACTAGAAATCTAATACAGGAATACAAATGAATTATACTGAGATCAAGAAATAATCCCTATCCCTTCCTAGACCACATGACTGTAAAGTGACTTTGTATTTAACAACTGCTACATATTTATGTAATAAACACATGATAAGGAGTAGGGAGTTTTGCCAGTAAGAATTGTGAAGAGTTACCCAAAGTAATTAAAGTGTAAACATGTTCAATTATAAAAAGAACAGAATGTTCACAAAAAGTTTCTACAAAATTTCTAAAAAATTGAGTGTGAATGCATTTACTAACTAGAACTGCTTGTTACCAATCTCTATCTAATCCTGTTACAAACCAAAGTTTGTTAGTCTTAATAACGAACAAGATACTTCAAATCAAATGTTCTTTAATGAAATCAATAAAACTGAAGAAACTCCAAGGGGCAAAGACGGAAGCAACAATGGAAAGAGCCAAATATAGCTTAAAACTAATAATCATTCTGAAGGGGATAAAAATTACTCAGGAATCCTTCCATTGTTACTGATACCAATCTCCTGAGGTCTCATACTGGACCAGATTTCAGGAGAAGAAAATACTGCATTTTCTATTTTACCCTATAACTCTCTATCCAGCCTCCACAAAACTTTAATTCTTCTCTCTGCCACCTACCTGCCTTTCCAGAGAAGACGCAGTTATGTTACATTTTCCATTTAATAACTTTATCTCTTAGATAATTAACTGTCTCTGCACTTTCTTGTATCCTTTAAGAATAAAACTGTGACCCCGTTCAGATAGTGACTGTCTGCTAGGCCTCAGTATAAATGAAGTTGTGCTTTACTTACTGCCAGTTAGTTATCCTGTTTAAAATTAAATTTACAAGTAAAATATGTATTTTTAAAGTTAAACACTGAAAAATTCAAACCTGGGTCCAATAGCGGGAATTAATAAGATGTCCCGGAGTTGTGGGTGCTCAAGAACTGGAACACAGGTTCCTTTAAATTGCTGTTAAATTAAAACAAACAAACAAACAAAAACACACAGTAAATTAGACTAAGAAGCTAATATTTAACTAGTTGATTCAATTGAAAACACTTTTTTTTCCATTCACAATTGATAGCTGTACAATAAAAAAAAAAAGTGAAAACGGTTGAGAGAGATTAAGGGAATGTTTTACAGGGAGACAATCCGTAATATAAATACAGATGTAAAGCACTAAATAATGAGTAAATAGAGAAGTAATAAATCTGTAAACAGGTTCACTGAGAAAATAGACTTTGGAGAGTGGGACAGTGTCCTGACACTCATAACCCTACTACTCATTTTTACTCTCTGCTGGAAGAAAGTTGTGTCAGGTTATCATCACGTCATTGTACCACACACACTGAAGATAGGGTCTAATTTGTTATGATTTTGATGCTGTTAATTATAAATCACTTTTTTTTTTACTATTCTTAATTACAAACTACTGTTAAACTCTACTCGTGCATTGTCTGAGTATGTATCAGAGTGGCAAGACTTTTTCTATTTCTCATTTCAACTGAAATTTGATTGAATACTGAGAGCTGAATTGTGCATAAAGTTGCAAAGAAATTACAAGTTCCCCCTTTAAAATGATTCTGGGATTTTAAAAAGATGTCTGCTTGCTTGAGGCTTTTAAAATATGCACCCCAAACATGCAAAGTTATCATTATTTGCATCCAATAAATGTTATCCCTTAACAAAGAAAATGATCCATTTGCATAATGTTGCTAGAAACTGTTACATAAACTTTCAGAAAGTTACATAAACTTTCTTTTCTAATATGGCCACTATTAAAAATACCAGAAGTTATGAAAAGCCAGCCAATTCAGATTTCAGCAAAGCATTTTCCCTCTAAGCAAAATATTGTACTGCAGTACCCATTTCCAGATTCAAGCTAAAATTAGCGTAACTCATTACCATTCTAGCCAACAGAATGCTGTCAACTGCCTCTGCATCACAGAAGCATCTTGGCTCCTGTCATGCAATAGCTCCCTGTACACCCACTAACATCAATAATTTACTTGAAGAACCAGATCTTTTAAAACAGACTGAAGAATTAGAATAGAGCTTCCAAATAATCCAGTTCTTCTACATCATGGCTTATGTATTATCAAGCACAAAATGTTTAATTTAGGTAAGTAAAAATTGAAAAAAATGGCCAGAAGATTAACAAGTAGTAAAAAACTTATGGCTGCTGCAGGGCATCACTCTGGCAGATTTTTCGTCATGCAGATTCTCTCCATTTCCTAAACAGTTTTCAGAATGAAATATTCATTCAATCTCCTTTAATCTTTACTAAAAATAAGTTGCTGAACATAGTATATCAAACTACAGATTTTAACTGTTTCTTCTACCATCTTCTCCAGACTTAGATGTCTGTACTGTATTTACTACAGTGGCAACCTAAGCTTATCTAAGGTCCCTATCAGCCATGTAGAAAAAAAGATTGTCTTTCTCCCTCCCTTGTTAATTTTCTTGGATGTATTAGATGCTGAACTAATGCTGAACATCATCTAGTAACTGCTAGATGATGAATGTTATTAAATTTAATGCTGACAGGAAATCAATATGTCTACACATTGTTAATAGTAGTGGACATATATTGAATTTAAGAATAGTTTCCAGTAATGAAAAGCTCTCTTAATCAGGCAAAAGACAAAACATCTTGCTATTTTTGCTTTAAGAAAGAAATTGCACAAACCTTCTGGATCTCTTCAAGCAGCAATTTTTTCACGTGTTTCACAGAGGCCAAGTTAGTGTTAACTCTAACTGTTGTGATAGCTGGTGGATGAGATAGATGACTTAACAGAGATTGATATTTACTCTCTGCCTCCTTTGTACCTAAAGCAGTTATAAGCTGACAGGGAAAGGAGAGATTTTAAAATAAGGATTAAAGAGATTCACACAATACCTCTTGCTCTGTGGAAGCATAACATAAACATTAAGCAGAAATGAAGGAATAATGGTTGTATGGCACGCAGTAGTGAGGAATGTCTATGCAATAGAGAACTAGTTCCAGAGACAACCTTAGAAAGTTGTAGGAAAGGATTTGTTGGGAAAATGGCCAAATCACTCCAAATAGTCTGCAGCAAATACTGAAGACAATCGTGAGTGAGTTCTGTAATACTGTAGGTACTGTAGAAAGAATATACCTGAGAAGATGGACAAGCAGATTCAAAAATATGAATTAACTTTTAAAAATATATACAAAAACATCACTTTTGTTTCAGCTGACATTAGGAAATCATAACTAATCCATAGTATTTTTGACTTTGCCCTGGGTAAGGGAGTATTTCTCAATATTCTCAATAATATATGTGCGCTTAATCTCCAACATGATCATCCTTCAGCAGGATCCAAAACTGAAGCCTCAGATTTATACTGTTTAGGTTAAATACTTAACATTATTTTGAGCCAACAGCCCTACAGAATAATTTTATAATATAAATAGGACTGTCTTTAAAAATCTGTGGATAATGTCAAGGCAATGCCTTATTTTAAAGCATTAAGGTTACAGAAAATAATGAAGTGTTCAATTAGTGAAGCATTTGCTATGATTAGCAGTGGTATCTGTTTCACATACCTCCTTATTTCTGAACACTTTGCTGAGATACTCTTCAACTTCATGTTGAAAAGAGATTTTGGGGAAAAAAGACATCTTCCTTTAGTGCTTAAATTCTGCTGGTAAAGAAATGAAACGAGCAACATATTTTCTTGGCACTTTCATCATAATACTCAAGTTTACAAACGTAACATAAGATATAACCACAAACTGAGCTGCACAACTTTCTGATTCTTCCATTTTAAAAGTGCAATATTTTGACTAAAAATCCAAACATTGATTAGATTATGACTGTAATGCTACCAGCTATTAGGTTTCAGCATAGGCTAAGTAACATGCCTAGAATCTGCAGTGCAGAACATTCACATTGCAAAGATGCTACCAGAATCTTTGATGTTGGAAGTTTCTCAGATGAGGCTACAGTATCAGTCTGAAACATGAAGAAGGTGTCGTCACCTCTAAATCCTGTCCCATTAAAGTCCCTAATTGCCATTTACTGGTAAAATTCACTCACAGAGGTTCCTCACAGAATTTAGCTTTGACTCTTCTGAGTCCCACCTTTGAAACTCCTGTTCTAATTATTCTATTATTCAATTCATTCTATCTGCGCAATTTAAAGATTATCTTTCTCTGTTTGCTCTTCCTGAAACTTCACCTCTTTCTCTATAGTTCATATGATTCCAGCTTCCTCATGGACAACATGTGTGACTGTGGACAGGTTGTTTTTTTTTTCATATAGGCTTAAAAAATTATGCAAGCACTATAGATCAGTTTTGTCTTGAGTGTATTTAAATCATAGTAGGAATAGATCAGCCAATTCTTATTGGAAAATGTTCAAGCTGTCTGGTGAAGGATTACACTGTCCATCCCCAAAATGCTTTTACTTCTCTGTAATTTTTTTCTACTTCATCTCATGACCAGCGACCAGTCACGAGTGGTGTCCCCCACAGGTCTGTATTGGGGCCTGTTCTGTTCAATATCTTTATTGATGACCTGGATGAGGGCATTGAGTGTAAGTTTGCAGATGACACCAAGTTGGCCAAGTGTTGGTCTGACAGAAGACCCTACACAGGGATCCGAACAGGCTGGATAGCGAGGCTAAGGCCAACGGGATAGAGTTCAGTAAGACCAAGTGCTGGGTCCTGCACTTTGGCCACAGCAACCCTACGCAAAGCTACAGGCTTGGGGCAGAGTGGCTGGAAGACTGTGTAGAGGAAATGGACAGGGGGGGTGTTGGTCAGTGCTCTAGACATGACCCAGCAGTGTGCCCAGGTGGCCAAGAAGGCCAATGATATCCTGGCTTGTATCAGAAATAGTGTTGCCAGCAGGAATGGGGAAGTGATCTTCCGACTCAGCACTGGTGAGGTCACACCTCAAGTACTGTGCTCAGTTTTGGGCCTCTCACTACAAGGAACACATCGAGGCCCTGGATAATGTTCAGAAGAGCAACAAAGCTGGTGAGGGGTGTGGAGTACCACCAGGAGCAGCTGAGGGAACTTGTTCAGTTTGGAGAAGAAGAGGCTCAGGGGAGACCTTATTGCTCTCTACAGCTGCCTGAAAGGAGGTTGTCAACAGGTGGGGGTCAGCCTCCTCTTCCATGTAACTAGCAACAAGACTAGAGGGAATGCCCTCAAGGAGGAAGAGATTGAGGTTGGACACAAGGAAAAGTTTATTCTCCAAGAGTAGGCACTGGAATGGACTGCCCCAGAACAGCCCCATGTCCTCAAGGGTGTTCAAGAAATGTTTAGATGTGGTACTAAAGGACATGGTTTAGTGGGAAACATTGGTAGCAGGTGAATGGTTGGAACAGATGATCTTAGAGGTCTTTTCCAACCTTGGTGAATCTATTAGCTGTGTTTTTAACAACAGTTAATGAACACTTAACCAAGTGTTTGTTCAAGGAATACACAACAGGAAAAGCAAAAAGACCCTCAGTACTTCACAGGGCCTGGTACACAGTGTTACTGCAGAAGAGCTTCTCTGTCATGAACAGTAAAGAGCGTGGACTCAACGCATGCATTCATGTGGCAAACACAAGAAATCCACTATTGCTGTGCTTAGAAAGCAGAAATTCTTTAATATCAGCACTGGATGCATAGGGATAATCCTATCACGCATAGCTTACACAAAAATTCTTCTGATTATATACATTACCTGTGTTACATACGCAGAATTTTTCCAAGAAGTATGTTACAAATAAAGAAGTTTCCCACAAGTATGTTGCATATGCAGTGACCAATTCCAAGCAAGACCTCCTGTTTCATCAGGACAAAGACTCAGAAGAACTTTCTTATCTCCTTGGTTCATAGACACAGCTCTTTCTGTTATCTAAACAAAAATTGCAGGGCAGGGGTATGCATTAAGAATGCACATTAACAATATTGGTACAACTTGTATCAGAAAAATCATAGAATGATTTGGGTTGGAAGGGAACGTTAAGATCATCCAGTTCCAATCCTCCTGCTATATGCAGGGACACCTCCCACTACACCAGGCAGCTCAAAGCCCCACCTAGCCTGGCCTTGAATGATTCCAGGGAGACGGCATTCAGGACCTCACTGGGCAACCCGTCCCAGTATCCCGCAGTTAATAATTTCTTCCTAATATCTAGTCTAAATCTACCCTCTTTCAGTTTAAATCCATTTTCCCTCATCCTGCCAGTACCTATCCTGTCTCCCCAAGAGGAAGAGACACTAACGATGAGCAATTCTGCTAAAATGAGCAGTCAAAAGAAATGGAACCTGGAAACTTTAATAACATACAGATGAGGGTTTCAGAGCACACCCACACAACCGGCAACCTCAGCACCGTATGCGGGCAGCTGCAATGCCGGCAGCTGCAGGAAAGATGCAACGTAGCTTAGGTTCGGAGAGAGGTGATGGAAGACCTGAAGGAACACAACTGCTTTCGAATGAGAAAGGACAACGCACATCACATCCTCCACGCTGGGATGGATTGCTGAATTCATCCTCCCCCTATAAACGTCCCCGTGCTCCTGCCGGGAGCTACAGCTGGGTAGCGAGCTCAGCACAAAAGCACTGTAGGGCACGTAGGTCCCGAGCACGACTTCGCATTCAAACCTTCACCCCTACCCCCACCTCACAGACCCTGCTCCCACCTGTAACTCGTGCAGGGCCGCTCCCGCCTCTTCCGGGACGGCCGCCGGAAGTCCCGCCCCCACGTCCGAGATGATTGGTTGGAGACGAACAGGGCGGTGGCGGCCCGGCTGTTACCATGGCAACCGCAGGGGCGGCGGCCCTCCCGCTAGACGCGACGGGTGGAGCGGCGCTGCGGGCAGTAGTGCTGGCGAATAAACTCATCCCACACAACGGTGCCCACAGCCCCATCATTTCTCACTGCTTTATTCCATAGGAAAGAAAACCTTTACAGCCATCGGGCCCTCCGGCCGCAGTGAAGGGCGAGCGCGGCGCACACGCCTCGGGGCCGAGGACCCGGCTTAGAGACGCTCCAGCGCGGCCTAGCGGGGCCTCACGGCACGGCCACCAGCTGCGGGGGCGTACGTGATGACGCACACGGTGACGCAGCGCGGCGACCGCGTGGGAGTCGGGGCGGCCCCCGGCCAGGGGCGGGGCCTCGCTCGTGCCCGCCTCTTCAACCGTCCGCCCGCCCTCTCGTCGTCGCATCTGCCCGGTGCCGCCGCTGTACACTCCGCCGCCTCTCTGGGCTCTGTGTGCCGCGAGGTGAGCCTGGGCCAGGCATGGGCCTGATCTTCGCCAAGCTGTGGAGTCTCTTTGGGAACCAAGGTGGGCGCCGGGCTGGCTCCGGGAAATGCGGCGGGGCTGAGCGTGGGCGCGGAGCGCTGGGGAGGTGAGGGGCTGTGGGCGGGGGGGGGGGGTTCCTCTTGCGGTGGGTTTCCCTGGGGACGCGTCCGGACAGAACTCGGGCTTCGCCCTTTGTAGCGCTCTGGGCGCTGGCTGTGCTGTGCTTCGCCGTCCGAGCCGCTTTGTTTCTCGGTTTGTTTCTCGCTCTCCCGGGCTGCTCGCGGCAGCGCTGAAAGACAGCGGGGCCTGCAGGGTGCCCGGAGCCGTGCGTCGGGGCCGGCCGTTGCTTCCCGATATCCGTTCTAACCGAGAGAGCGGCCGCCGCTTTAGTGGGCGATCGGGGCCGCGTTTCTAAACTGAAGTCTGCTACTGAAATCACAGTGTTTTTATCTTTAGTTTGGAGGCAAAAAAAACAAAAAACAAAAACAAAAACAAGCAAACAAAAAAACCAACAAACTTGCTTTGGGTCCTTTGAGGTGAAGTTCTGTTTGAGTTTTGGCAAAAGCCGCTAGTTGAATGCGTTCAATGACCCAAGAAAATCACTTCTCATGCCAAGAATGGAAAGAGCGTCGGGGACAGCTTTGTCCCTAATGCACCCAAATGCTTTGTGCTCTGTGTTCAGCTTTGATGTCCAGAACTTGGAGCCGCCACTGCCTTCAGCTCAGTTATCACGAAAACAAAATTTGTTATGGTATCTATTTGTTTTCAAGAATCTTGCTTACCTCGCCCTCTTTGGTTAGAGAATAAAATACTTAACGCAATTTGTTCTCTGTATTGATTTTCCTTGAGGCCCCGAGTTTGGAGCAGCCAAAATGATGATGTTATTGCTCTGCTATCAGGTTTCAAAACACGTGCTCCATTCCCATTTTCAATTTACTACATTCCTACTTCAAAAATTGCAACACTTTTGTTGTCGTTGTCTTCCACATCACACTCTTTTGCCAAAACAGTTTCGCAAGGTTCACCTTGTATCCCTTTAATAGTCATACCACCATGAGTGAATGTATTCTGTTCTGATTCTGCAAATAGCTGAGGCAGCCTCAGCATGCGGACTTATTAATATCTGTCTGCCAAACTGTCTTCCCATGGCAGGGAGCAGGAAGAGGTTCCAAGCCATTTATCTCTCCCATGCCTTAATGTTGATCCTGAAGACTTCAAATGGAGTTTTATAAATGAATATTTTACTTTTACTTTACTTGAAGATTATTTTTTTTATCTGAACTGGAAAACCCATTTGAAAAAATTCAAGGTATCCTCCCTTAGCCCCCTTTAGGTCTCCACAAAGCTCTTAAATACTCCCTTGTGTTTTTTTGTTTTTTAATTAAATACTGTGATTTGCTGCTCCCTTCCCTCAAGGACTCCACCAGGATGTGCAGAGAGCTAATTAGAAGTGGCTCTTACTGTTGATCCATATGGTCCCCTATGATGGCAGTACTTATCCTCAGGAAGAGAATAAGAGTTGCCGCTCCATTGTTTTGGTTTCTTTCTTTGTTAGTATGTGATGACGTCCATTTCATTAGTGAGGGGGGGGGAAGTCTTTGTATATTAATTCCTGAAAGGAAAGCAGTTCTTAATACGTTAAAATATTTTAACCATTAATATGGTAGTTACAATGGATGAGTCACTACTGTGAAATCCTTACCTTTTGGCTTTTATCCCAATGGGAGGTTTATGGGTTTTCTTCATGTTTTGTTGTTCTCTCCATCTTCAGTCTCACTGCAGCAAATGGAGAGTAAAGCAAGTTTTATTTTGTGATCAAAATTGAAATTTTACCCTAGAAAACTCTCATTGACCATAATTTTTTGACTCATCAGATAGGGTTTTCCTCTCTAAATAGTTATCATCATTATGACTATGGAGAAAATAATAATAATAAAGATAGTAATTACTGAGTTGGATTTTGTTGCTTTTCAAGTTGTATGTGAGCTCAGAGCATTCCTAAGTTGGCCCATGAAACTGTTGAGTATGGTCAAAATAATTACATTAGCAAATCAGAGGGACAGATAAACCCAGGTGTGTGTGGAGCACAGCATTGGTTTGTCAAGGCTAGCATGGATGGTGCTAGTAGGCTGAGGCAGCAGATGCTGGCAAAATGCAGACAAAATAAAGATTTAGCAAGTGTCATCTGGCTTCCTTCAAGTGGAGAACGGTGGAGGAGGAATGCTAAAGTGCTAGAAGATGTGTACAGGAAGTCATGGGCATTTCATTCCAGTATTAATTATGCACTGCAGCTTTGCTTTATGTAAAGGTGTATTGTAGCTGTGCTGAAAATGCCAAATCTAAAAGGTGTTTGATCAATAATTTCTAGACAGCTAAATGCAATGAAGAATTATCAAGCAGTGAATTAATGCTGATAATTTCTGTGGCGAACATCTGTAAGTCACTTTCTCAAAAGTTTTAATCTTAGAATGCTAACATATAACATACTGGTATACAAAAAAGTCAGGGATCTCCTGGAAAGAGTCCAGTGGAGGGCCACAGAGATGATAAAGGGTCTGGAGTAACTCTCTTGAGAGGAGAGGATGAGCAACCTGGGTCTCTTAGCCTTGAGAAAAGAAGCCTCGGGATCTGATCAATGTCTATAAATATCTAAGGTGTGGGAGACAAAGGGATGAGGGCAGAGCCTTATCAGTGGTGTGTGGTGATAGGATGAAGGGAAATGGCCACGAACTGAACCATAGGGAGTTCTGCACAAATGTGCATAAGAACTTCTTCACGAAAGGGTGATGGAGCACTGGAATGGGCTGCCCAGAGAGATTGTGGAGTCTCCTTCTCTGGAGAGGTTCAGTGCCCACCTGGGTGCCTACCTGTGCAGCCTGGTCTGGGGAGCCTGCTTTGGCAAAGGAGACTTAATGATCTCGATTTAATTGTGCAAATATGTTTAGAAGGATTTGTTTCCAGTTTGAGTGTCGAGTAGCCTTTGAACAGTGGCATCACTTTCTACTTTTATTTTTTTAATTTGCCTGGATGATAGTAATAGCGGTCAAAACTGTTCCCTGGCCTTATTTAATCTTGTTTTCTGGTCTTCGTGCCTTTTCAGTATGTAATGGCTTTTAATCAAGTCGGAATTAAATGATGTGAACTGGTATGTAGACAGTTTACTTCCAAGAGAAACAATTAGTTTAAAAATAGAGGTTTAAGTTCTTTGTTCAGTGTGACTTACTGATGGCTTCCTGATTATCTCAGTGTATTTTTGAAGTTGGCAAAAAGTAAGGCTTCATGTGTTGTCCCCTGCAGCCATTTCGAGTCTGGTTATAAATTATTTTATGTTCAGGTTGAACTTTTAGCATTTAATTTTAAAATAAATAAAGGCATATATAAGAAAATCGCTTCAGAAATTACGTTCTTACGCGGTGATTCAGTACTCAAATAAGGCAGTCTGCTAAGCAACGTGTAGTATGAATTAGTGGTGGAACGGCACTTACTGCCTTCATGTAAACATAGCGGGGGGAAAAACTTCATGATTAACTTATTCTACCAATGCTCTTTGTGTAACTCTTAATGAAATTATAAAGAAAAAACAAAAGTGAATGCCAGCAGCCCTGATAAAGGTAACTCCTTTCCCAGAACCTTTTTGTGGATGTATGGCCGATGCGGTTCTTTAAAAAGTGCACAAGTTTGTATTTTAAATGTTTTGAATGATAGCTGTTCAGAATACTGTTAGAATAAATGCTGTGATTGTTAAACAAGTAAAGAAAAACTGCCGTAAGAAAAATAATGGTAGGCTCAAAATCAAGGTGATGAACTTCCATAACTCCACGGGTTACTTCGTCTATGCTTGCTGCCAGTCTCCATACTCCACAGTTGGGTTAGCAGAGACCTTTATCTGAAGAAAAAAAAAAAAAAAAACAAATGGATTTTGATTCTGGTGACTGTTGAAGGTTGCTCACGGTTTTTCTTAACATGTATTTTAATAAGTCTGGAAATACAAATTGTATTAAGTTGGGTTATATAGAAGACACTAAGGAAGCTTAGTTAGTGTGGAGAAATCTGTCTTGTATTGAGAAGACTTTAAAGTGTAGTACAGTTCTGTTCCTTCTGCCTTCTCTTTCTTACACAAACTTATGTCTACCTTCTGTCTTCAGCTTTGAAGCTTTTAACATCATTTTTCTTATCAACTGGATGTGCTGTTTTTGTCTCACAACCTGATAACTATCAGTATTCTTTCACTTACTTCTTCATTCGGGTATATTGGAAGAAAAGATTCTTGCCCATCGCTAAAGAAATCAGGGGTTTGTAGGTTTGGGGTTTTTTGTTTGTTTGTTTTGTTTGTTTTTCAATTTAGGAAGATCCAAAACTGTGATAACTGAATCTTCAGATTTGAGTCCCTTGATGAAACCCTTCTACGGAAGAATATTTAAGAATATGTTTAGGAATATTTATCAGTAATATTTTGAAGAAAAGAACATATGTCTTTTTTT